CCAGTGACAGCTGAAACCTATCCAGCTGATCACAGTTGACACTTATTCAACCAATTCTTCTTCTTTCTTTCGTTCGCCTGAAATAAGTTGTCTGTATCAGAAATTTTATCTCTTGTATAAATTTCACTGTCGTTGTTAGTTCATTCAATGGTCCATAGAGTTTACGTTATTCAACAAATCACAGCTGACACTTATTCAAGCAGTCACAGCTGAAACTCATTCGAGCGGGTCACATTTGAAACTTATTTGACCAGTTGCAGCAGTCACTTACTTATTCAACCAGTCATAGTTATCACTTATTCAACCAGTCATAGTTATCACATATTCAACCAGTCACAGCTGTTGCTTACTTATTCAACCAGTCATAGTTATCACTTATTCAGCCAGTCACAGCTGTCGCTTACTTATTCAACCAGTCACAGCTGTCGCTTACTTATTCAACCAGTCATAGTTATCACTTATTCAACCAGTCATAGTTATCACTTATTCAACCAGTCATAGTTATCACTTATTCAACCAGTCATAGTTATCACTTATTCAACTAGTCATAGTTATCACTTATTCAACCAGTCATAGTTATCACTTATTTAACCAGTCATGGTTATCACTTATTCAACCAGTCATAGTTATCACTTATTCAACCAGTCATAGTTATCACTTATTCAACCACAGTCATAGTTATCACTTATTCAACCAGTGACAGCTGACATTTATTTACCAGCCCCACTTGACACTTATTCAGCCAAAACATGCTTTCTTAGATTTTTCCTGAACATTGTTTGCTGTCCTTGTAGATACCAACAGTGGTAACAGTTATATCTGGTTGCTTAGTAAACATGTTATCTGTTTCAGGTTTCCTTGCATGCTTGGCCCTGTTCCTCCTATTCAGTGATGGTGCACATTTGGTCTGCGACTTCATAAGTTTTGTGTACCCAGCATGTGTTTTGTATGTATTTAGACAACTTGCATTATGTATGGTTAGATATAATATTATGTTCTTAGCTGTCTTGCTTGTTTTATATAATGATACGATTTTTGTCTCCTTTGCCATTATGAGCTATTCTATTGATTAGTGGTTTAAAAAAAAAAAAAAAAATTGTTTCTCTCGGATTGCAATCTGAAAGATTGACACCAGTGACTCAAATAGGATATCAAGAAAATTATGGTGAATGGCTTAAGACAGTGGCTTGGAGGAATATCATCAGTGGAATAGATCCAGAACACCAAAGACCAAGATCTGTGGAGATGCATGAATGCCTATGCCAGTGGTCAAGGCACTTGATGATGATGATGATATAATATAATAAATAATAATAAAAATAATATGCAGTAGGAGCAAATAATCATAGAATCCCATTTAACAGTATAAAACAGTTGTACTGGGGTACTCTACAGTTACGAAGTAAAAATTCTGTCCATTTAGGTGCGTGATTAAGTAGCAGCTAACAAGTTTCAGAAACCTTGGCTGTTTGTGCAAAACTAAAGCACAAAAATCTACTCATTGAAGAGTTGTGTGTAGCATCATTTATCATTATGCTATCTAGAGATAGCAGAGGTTAAGCTTTTGATAAGAATCTTGGGAATATAATGGAAATGTAAATAAGCTATGGTGAGTGAGAGCTGCATGTTCTGAATGATCACTTTTCAAAACTAGCTGTTGCTGCTGCTTCTTCTTTTGCTTCTTTTTCTTCCTCATTTTCTTCTTCCTCCTCCTCCTCCTCTGGTTACTTCATCAAAGTTTTAGGGAAGAGTATCTTTTGTGTGCACTTTCTGATGTGTTGTATAAGTTGGTCTTCATTTCTTTGAGACTGTTCTTGATGCTTTCATTGCATCCTTTGCATGGTCCTTCCCTAGTTCTGTGGTTATTATTGTATGTCTTTGGCATGGCTCTCTGGGGCACTGGGTACCACAGCATTCTCGTCTGATGACCAAACCTGTCTGTTGCTTTTTAATGAATTGTACGACTGCTTTCATGTAAACGGAAGAATATCATGAAATGACAGGCGAATACCGCAGTTTTCCTGGAGAGATTTACGTGTTTTTCTTAAACTTTTCTTAGTCGCAGCACTTTTTTTTCAATTAAAATGTTTCCACGACGCCCTAAACTTAAGTAAAAGTATGACAATTCATATGTAAGAGAGGAAAAAAGTCTGTATCTTTGAATATTTTGCGGCGCCCCTGGGAAGAGGTCGAGGCGCAGCACACAGTTTGGGAATCACTTGGTTAGATAAATTAGATATAGATATGATAATTTGCTGACATGCTCTGAGACAGAATGAACTTGAAAACCTGGTGACACCTAGTGCGACTGATGGACAGAGAGCAAGATGATAGTGGTGATTTGCTGGGAAAAAAAAAAAATAAAAATCTTGTTTAACCAGCATCCTTGAATGGGGAGCTTGAAGTTGTGTGCGGCATATAAAATGGCTTAGCATTGCACGCACCACCAAGAGCCCTGAAAAGGACTCCTGCAGGGTGGATGCAATCAAAGGAGATCAGAAACAAACTACTGTCTCGATCGGCGACAAAGTCATCTACTGGCGAAACAATGGATAACACAGTCACCGATGTGAAGAGAGCAAGAGGAAGACAAAGAGATAAATACTTGAATGGCTTGAGGAGAGGGGGGTGGTTACCATAGACCTGCTCCATGATTCTGGTGAACGTAAGAGATATCAGATTACGACTGCATGATATTGAACAGAAAAGGTGCATTAGGAAAAAATCTATAGATTTATGGATTTAAAAAAACTAGCAAGAAAGGCAGGGGAGGATAGATCAGTATGTGGAAAGCTTAAACAGCTGGGAATCTAAAAAAAAACCCATTAGTTTCGACCTGTTTACGAGATATATAGTTAATGCTGTTAGCTGTGTTCACGCCTGCACTAAAATTTACGAGGTCAGGATATGAATATATTAGGTAAAAATATAATTAAGATGGGGTGGGCTGTTCTTTCAAAGGAAGTGGGTTGTAAAGCCAAGTTGACATCATAGTTTGCCCATAAGCCTCGATGTTAGAGGTCACAGGATGAATCACCGGATTCATTTTTTTTTTAGGTTCCAGAAATGTATTTTGTTTAATGCCTCAGTGTTCATGTTTATTTATTGCTCTATTTATATATCCTCATATGTTTTTGAGAAAAATTTCTGCATATGCATACATAAAATAAAAGAAATACAATTGGTTAATGACCTATATAATCTATGTTTAAAAAATCAAAAGATTTGTTGAGAATACTCATGGGGTCATGACCTAGCTTTTTTTAGTATTACAGGAGCAAAAGGGTTACAAAATCATTAGGGACACTAACCTGCCATAGTAAGTAAGGTCAATGACCTTTTTCAGGCCCTTGGCACTTTGTGCCTGTGGTAAGTTTAAAAATGATCTGGCACCCAGCCTCATATTTGTATAGATCAATCGCCCACATCAACATTATGATCTGGCACCTAGCCTCATATTTGTATAGATCAATCGCCCACATCAACATTATGATCTGGCACCAGGCCTCATATTTGTATAGATCAGTCGCCCACATCAACATTATGATCAGGCACCAGGCCTCATATTTGTATAGATCAGTCGCCCACATCAACATTATGATCAGGCACCAGGCCTCATATTTGTATAGATCAGTCGCCCACATCAACAGTATGATCTGGCACCAGGCCTCATATTTGTATAGATCAATTGCCCACATCAACAGTATGATCTGGCACCAGGCCTCATATTTGTATAGATCAGTCGCCCACATCAACAGTATGATCTGGCACCAGGCCTCATATTTGTATAGATCAATCGCCCACATCAACATTATGATCTTTCATTTAGTTCTAGACAATAATTATATAGACCAGCTTCACGTGATAGGTGAACATCATATTTGCTGCCTTTTATTTCCTAGCCTGTACCTATTTTAGGCTAGGTCAACCTAGAAGGTCAGTTTTGAACAAATCTGCCTCTATGGGGATGTGAACCCTGGTCCTTCAGGTCAGTGGGCAAATGAATAACCTACCATGCTTAATGTAAAAGGCACCTAGAATGGTTTTACTTGAGACTAGTGGTGTCATCCTTTAGAAAACTTCCATCTAAACAATTCAGACAGTCATTAGTTTGTCGTCTAGTCATGGTTTCAGCTTTATAGCCAAGGGTTTACTCTATTATTGCTGTCTTTTTGTGCCAGCTAAAATCTCAGAAAATGCTAATTGCCGCGTCATATGAAAAGTAAAATAAGCAGTTATTCCGACAAGACTAGCAACAAACACACACTTTGAATACAAAAAGGCAACAGCAAGATTGTCAGCACCAGCTATCAGTTACTAGAATTGCAATTCAAAGACAACAGCAGCCATGAACAGCAACACCAGCCTGTGCATGCATTCAGTATTGCATAGGGCATGCTGTCAGATTGGTGGCAACTGGTCACTTTTTAAATAAGCAGTCCATAAAACAAAATGTTGCAGACATTGGAAAAAAGAACTCAACTCAGTAGTTGGGTAATGTTAAAAAAAAAGGAAAATGTGTCAGAAAACTAAACAGAGCACCACAACACTCCATGGCTTTAACAGCCCGCCTGCTTATCCGCCAAATTGGACTTGAAGTTCACCTAACCAGACATGAGGTCTGCAAAGGGTTTAGCATAAGTTGGCTGAAGGCCTATGTTTTTTGAGTGATAACAGACATAAAAAGATTATTAATATGCCTGAATAAGCTATGTAATGGAAAGTCATCGAGTTTTTGCAAATTTTTTTTTTTATTCACCCTCAAATCAATAGTTGGCACATTGTGTTGTGGTTTACATTTAGGCTGCAATATCTGCACCTTTTGGGCGAGCACATCCAGTTTCAGCAAGATTGTAATTGTTCACTTTTCACATGATTATTAATGGGCAGAGCAGTGGGTCTTTTCTTCCACTCTACCCTCCCCTTTTTCCCTTAAAAAAAATCTTCAGAATCCACATAGGGAGTCTTTGCACTCATTATCTTTAAATATTTATCCTCAGCGTATGGGCGATTGAACAAGGCCATGCACATATAAATTACAGAAAATGGTTAACTTACTGGGTGATCTTCAACACTTTTCCTTTTCTTGAATATTTTTTGCTGAACCTCGAGTCTTCAACATGGAGAATTTACTGGCTTTGGAAGGTAATAGTACAGTCTGTTGTATATTCCATTTAATTTTTTGTTATCATGCTGTAATAATTCAAAATATTGAAAATAGGAATATGTGTATACCTTATTCATTCATTGTCCTCTTGTGCCATTATATGATACTAGTGGTTGCCCAGACATTTATTTCTTTACTTCTCTTAAATTATGTACCACATAACTCAAAACAATATCATAGAAGGATAGAACAACAAACAAAGCAGTCTTCATCATGACAGATGAAAGTTGTAAACTCATTAGAACTCGAGACTCGAGAACTTAGTAACAACTGCCAAGATTGATGGAAATAGAGCAAGAGGAAAGCAAAGCCATAAGTATCAGGATGGCTGAGCCTGATGGATGGGGGGATACAAAAACATTGAACTGATCAGTGATTCTGGTGATCATTTGAGGTGGCAAAACATGACAGCCTACGCTTACCAGCAAGGCACATGATGATGACGATGATAACTAAGACTTTAAAAAAAAGGACCCTTTTCATGTCAGTGGTGCATCAGGTATATGATGCAAGACCCATATAGGTATAGCTCAATTGGCTCTTGATGGGTAATGTGCTCCACATGACACCAGCAAAATACAAAGTTTAGTGGTAAATAACTGAAACTTGTCATTGTGTTATCCATACCACAACATTCAGCTCAAGAATGGAGCCGGTCACTGTAGCCTTCCCCTGGTTAGAGAACATGACACACACACAAACACGCACACACGCAAGCACACACCCACCCACCCACACACACGCCCACACCCACCCACCCACACACACGCCCACACACACACATCGTGAATGTCACCACTGCACCTTGATGAGCAACATTTTTTATGCCATTCTAACAGAAACTAATCCTGGATAACTCTTATAGCTTATAAAAGAGTCACAACCAATGATGATGGGCAGTTTAGGCCGGGCATAAAGTTCCTCTGTCTACAGCACAAAACCTGGGAAGAATTGTAGAGGCCACGTGTTGCCTGAGCAGCATGATTCCTCTTTGCCTTGTTTACTCCAAAGGAAAGCTAATAACAGCTATATTTAGAACAAAGCATGCTGCCAAAGTGCCAGATCAGAAGAGCAGTGCTGTGTCTATCCACCTTGTGAATCGGCTGGTAAGGAAGACACTGCAGTGACATACTTTGAGAAAAGGGGCCATCCAGTCAGTCTATCAGAAGAGAACAGAATTAGGCCATTGATGACCACCACTTACTTGACCAGTGTGGACAGGTCATAAAACACTTATAATTATACAATTACAATTATATGCACAAACTACATCTGAGTAGTTCATTACCGTGCCCATGTGGGTTGTGTGCACAAACTGCAGAACATGTCCTACAAGACTGTCCCTTGTACAGTCCATTTAGAAGAGCATACTGACTCAGTGAGTTAAAATCATAATCAAAATTGTATGGAGCTAAAGAGAACCAAAACAAATAAAAAATGCCAATTTTCATCACAAGAATTCATCTGCGGTGCAAAATCAAGGAGGCAACTGCAAGAAGAAGTAGTTTGGGTGGCCACTTTCCTTCATTGTTATCCTTCCTTCCCAAATTTCAGAAAAATCTGGGTAAACCAGGAAACCATATTTATGATGATAATCTTCTTCTTCTTCTTCTTCGCGTTCACCAGCTGTAAGCTGGAAATTTCTGGTTGTTCGTCCACTTCTGGTCTGCAGTCCTGTTCCAGAGCCTGAGTGTTGCGTGTGCATCCGTTTGACAGATCTGACTCATTTGTATGCAAACTGCTGGTTCCTTGCCTCTCAGGCAGATGCACTCCGACTTCGAAGGAAGCTCCCAATTAGTCGACTCTTACAACATGCGATAATAATAATTGTTACTACTGTATTAATATGCATTGTTGTGCTTTGTTTGTACATATTTGTGTTTATAAATGGTTCCCCAGTGCGCAGTGATCATCATGTGTTTTCTACATCTGCCCGAAAATGTATACGTTCTTCTGATCAAACCATTCCTTGAAAACTACCAGGTTCCGATTGATAATCTGCTGACGTCTGCAGCTCAATCTGCTGATAATGGTAGGCTGACAATGGTAGAAAGTGTTATCTTTGTTGACATGAATCCTGTTTCTTTAAGTTTTACTTCATGGTTTGCTAATTTGACTTCTGTATATGTGGATATATTATTTTGTTTTAATACTATATGTCTCTAAAACTGGTGAGATGAGGGAACTAGATGTAATGCAGATCAAACAAACATATCTTTTAAAGATTGGGTCCCAGGAAACCATTTTGGCGAAGAAAGAATAGACCCACTGCCCCCATAATGAGCATCTCGTAGAAGGCAACTAGTTAGGTGTGGTTCCTTTCAAGTCGGAGTGTAACTGTCTGAGAGGCAAGGGACCAACAGTCTGCATACAAATGAGGTAGATCTGTAAAATGGATGCGCATGCAAAACTCAAGTTCTGGACCAAGACCAAAGTCCAGAAATGGATAGACAGCCAGAATTTTTCACCAAAATTTACAACCGGTGAATGCTTAGAAGAAGAATAAGAAGAACCAAGAATTTTGGGAAAATGCAAAAATGTGTTCTGTCTTCAATAAAAATGTTGTGCCCTGTCCACATTGGAGATTGACTGCAGTGGATATATGCATCCAGTACTGCCTTTAATAATATTACATGATGAGATCCCAATCTCTTCCATGTTACTACCCTCATACTACAGTCTGACAGCCATGAAAACGGTGCTGTCTGAGCTTGATTAAAGTATTAGATGTTGCTGTCTATGATTGAAAAAATATTGACGGTAAATTCCTGGGGCAATGAAAAAGTGGAATTAAATAGCATATAAATGCAAGGGCATTTTACCTCTGTCTCTCCGTGAATAATTAAGTTAGCCAAAATAGGCTGTTTTTAACATATGTTCCTTCAGTGAGATTCTTTCATCAGGTGGAGGTAACCTGTTCAAATCTTTTGTGTGGTCACTTTAAATTTGTGTGTTGTCTACATTGTTCTACCAGTATTCTCTATCTATTTTTTTCTACCTCTTTGAAGGACGATTAATATTTAATTTATTTGTCATGCCATTTCAGCGTCCTCAAGGGCTCACCGATAATTGCTGTTTCCGTGTGTGTGAATATGGGAATTAATAATATAGAATTGTGACACAGTTCGTTATTAGGTTGTGGGTAATGTAAAATGAATGTTTAGTGACCCCTGGAGGACTGTTTCAGAAAGACAGCTGCAACTGATAATCACTTGTACCTTCTCAACCTGCCTACAAAAATTATGCCTGTCATAGCTTTGGTGAAAGGTTTAGATATATTGAGCACACTCTGAGACAAAGTGAGCAGAGAATTACAAAACAAGCACTGTAATGGGAAACAAGCGGTCTTTAAAAAAAATAGGACCTGTAAGGGAAACATTAAGAAAAACATTACGAGAGATTAAAAATGCTAGGCTGAACTCCATGTCAGAAATTGAAAGATTTGCATGAAATAGAGCGGAGTGGAGGAAGCAAATGTGAGCCCTCTGTGACATTTAGCGGCACATAAAGGATGATGATGATGTCATAGCGGCGCAATAATTTAGTTGTTTAAAATAATAATACCAGCTAGCCTCTGAAAAAACCTAAGACCATGTAATAAATTCTGGCATACAATCTTGGGTGTATGAAAAGATCCAGAAACGTTGAGCACAATGCCACTATTATTATGGGCCAGCCCAGCCTCAAAATGGGTATCAGAAAATATTTTGTGAAGTAAAGGCAGCCAGTGTGATATTAGACCATCAGCCCTCAAGTGTTTGTTAATATAAAAATAGGGAGCTGCATCATATACCCAGGACATATCTTGGTGTAAAAAGAAGCCCTTTACTTTCTTTACCCAGTGTCCCGTCCAGTACATTTCATGGCATTAAAATTGATTGTTAGCTTTACTTTATTTTATTTATAAACTCTTATTGATGAAAGTTCATTGCTTCTTTATCTGTCCTAGGTCGATCTAAATAAGGTCATCTTCATCGTCATCATCATAAACCACTTCTGCTGTTAAGTTTCTTTGGAAAGAATAATTTTCAATCCAGTGCACGCTGACTGCCAATGACTATTGTCATGCCATGAAGGCGTAGAGTGTCTTTAAGGTTGTCAGTCCATATTTTTGTGGCTGTCTTCTTGCTCCTGTAGCTGATCTTTTGAGATGTAGTGCTTGTGATGGTATTTGATCTTGCTGCATTCTAACGAGATGGCTAAACCACTTGATCTGCTCTTTATCGAGGAATCTATTACAAGGTGTGTACATAATATAAGGATAGGTGATTCCAAAACAAATTGCAGCCTTGAAATGGTTCTTCCAAACTGACACCATATTGTAAGTTTCTTACTTAATTATAGCCCCTTCACCCTGCAATCATTGGGCGCGGGTGGGGGGGGGGGGAATAGCCCGGACTTCCCTTTAAAAAAAATCCTTTAAAAACATTTTACACAGGTCACTAATCACTTTCTTTACACATTTTATTTATTTACAATTAGAATTTATTTTTTAGAAATATATGAAGGGGGGTAATCAGTGAAAATGAATGGAGCAGAGAATTAAATGGAGTATGTTTCCCTAGGTCTAAAAATTTATTGGGCGACTCATAGCATGATCTAGTCACAATGCGTTAAGGTTAAAGGCAAATTGCGGCATCATAATTTCTTAAAAAGCCTTTCTTTTTCACAGTAAGCCCCTCGCCTTCCTCACCCAATGCTATTTTTAGTTTATGTTTATTGGACATATCAACATCATGGCACATCATGGTAACTCATAAGTGCTCTGTTTTACTTCTAACTCAAGCCTAAGTCTAAAAATTCTTATTGCAGTGCACGAACTCCATTGCAACGGTGAAGATCGTGAAATACTTTGGGTAGAATTTATCTCCAAATTTTGCCCAGGCAGTGCCGTTAGGCTACTCTTTTCATTTTCCAACCGCCAAGGGATTTTTTACATGAGCAACAATACACACAGGCGTCCAATCGTTCTACCCAGAGACCAGGGGAAATTACTAGAAGTCGACATGAAAAAATTCCAGTCTTCACCAGGGCTTGAACTTGGGACTCCAGCACTCCAGGTGAACACCCTACCCAGAGACTACTCAGCCCTCAGCTATTTTATATCATGCCCTCATGAACACTGTACGGTGCAGACAAAACCAGTACTGTTAACTAGGCTTGTTTGGGGATATGCCAGTGCAGCAGTGCTGGCTTAATTGTTAATTCCTGGATATGTAATGAATGGCGCTATGATCACCGTCTCTTGGTGAAGGGTTAACAATTTTACCAAAAGGATAATACTGTAGCATTTAGTGAACATTCTTTCTGACTGTGTTGCCATTGCTTTGGGCTGAAGTCAAAGTCTGTGTGTTACTCATTTGTGGTTGTTGGTGTTGCATTGCATAATATTGATTTTTAAGACTCAAGGATGGTGTGTGACTGTTGAGAGAGTGACTGAAATGTTAACATGATTGTTAATCATCTCTGTCACTTCAGATAGATTCATGAGCATATTTCCTATGGAATATTCTGCCCCATATTGAGCTTTTATTTTCTCCTTGTGGGTTCTGGGGCCCCATTGTGGCTCCTCAACAAGCATGTCGTAGGAGTTGACTGATTGGAGGCTTCCTTTGAAGTCAGACTACATCTGCCTAAATGGCAAGAAACATCACACTGCCCACAAATAAGCCAGTAAAATGGATGTTCACGCAAAACCTGGGCCCTGGCAGAAAACCAAAAACCAAATGGGAGCAGCCAGAACCTTCCACTGGAGCTTACAGTTGGTGAACAAGGAAGAATAATAAGGAGAGCTTTCATTTTCTCTAATTTGTAAAATTAACAAAATTTTTAAAAAATACAATTTTATTTGTAGGAACGCCAATTTTTGTGCTGATATTTTGTGCCTGTGTGTGGGGATTTAGGTCTCTCTGCAATGGACTTGGCTTCCTGTATCCAGCTTACATGTCGTAAGTGCTGCCAGTTTATACTTCACAGTCACACTGTTCATGATGGGTTAAACTTTTGAGCCCTAGAAACCTTTGCAGCATATTCCACTAGTGGCTCTCAACCTCCCGAATATAGCGACCCTTAAATACAGTTCCTGTGGCCACCCCAAACCATACTATTATTTTCGTTGCTACTTCATAAATTCAATGAATATGTATTTTCCGATGGTCTTTGGCGACCCCTGAGAAAGGGTCATTTGACCCACAAAAGGGTCGCGACCCACAGGTTGAGAACAGCTGCACTAGAGGAAGCGGAACCACAGTAAAAACTCTTGAGTGCACTATGTTAAAACATGGAGTTTTCCCCACATTGTAACGCTTGTTGAGTTTTTAAAGAAAAATCAGTAATTTTCAACAACAGGTAGAAATAGTCAGCCACCTGTAAAATGCATCCATCTGAGAAGGCTAACCCAGTCAAAAAAAGGCCTGCAGAAGTCAGATGTATTGGCTGAAAGGGGCAAGTATAGAAACCATGCTGCAAACGGGCACAGCACAGCTACATCTGTACATCATGCAGAAGAATAAATACAGCCATGAATGACAAAATTAACTTTTGTGGCTAGATAGAACTTGAGCATTTAATGCTAAACTTACATTATTATAAACCAAACAGCACTCCACAAAGGATATAAATTCCAACCACATACAGATCGATAATATTAATATCAAATGAATGGAAACATGTAAGTACTTGGGTACAAACTTCAACTACTCCAACATGTTAAGAAAAGAAATACAGTCTTGAATACAATCTGGGAAAAAAGTATACTTTGCCTTTCAACATCTGCCAAAGTCTCTATCTTGCAACACCAAAATAAAATATATAAAACCATGATAAGACCAGTCGTTTTATATGGCTCTGAAACTTGGAGCACAATCAACAGAGATAGAACCTTATTAAAATTTTTCTAAAACAGTCTTAGACGAATCTTTGGATCCATGGAAGATGCAAACAACAGAGAATGGAGAGTGAGAAGCAACAATGAAATTCCTAATTTGTTTAAATCACCATTGATCTCTGGTATCACGAGAGCTAATAGACTGAAATGGCTGGAGCATATAGAGAGGATGTCAGATGATTAAGAGGCAAAAAGTCTATACACAAGGGAGCTGAATGATGGTAGACCACGAGGCAGACAACAAAGACGATGGAGCTATAATGTCCAGACAGACATGCAAACATTTGGTTCACCTACTGGAAAAAGAAGGCCGACCAGAGAGATGAGTGCAGGCGGGTGGTATCTGCAGCAGCGAACCTTAAGGGCTTGGAATGCTGAAGAAGAAGAAAAAACAGCACTCTATGGGTGATGACGACATTATGCCTGCTGCCTTTGCTTTTTAGGACTTTACTTGGTACCCATTTTGGGCTGGAAGCCAAGATCATGTGAGAAAAAACAAATTTAGACCGCAGCTTGAACCAAGATCCTTTAGTTGCTTTACCACTGTGACTCACTGTTATATAAAAGAATGTGTAAAATAACATTTCATTTTGGTGAAGCCCATCACAGTTTCCAGCCACACTTAAACATCAGGACTTACTAGCAGTTAAAGCTGGGTTTATAGTGCAAGTTGTGTGTGTGTTTATAGCAGTTGTTGTAGAGACCCTGAAATAGTGTGATCAACAACTTGATTTGTATTGACTGGCATTCAAAGGTCCTTTGTAGAACTTCGCTCTTATCACGGTCTGCCTGAAAGAAACCTGGTCTCTCGCCAGCTCTCCTGCCTCATATACTTTTTATATTCAAGGAGTCACTTTTATCCTGTGCCCATTCGTTTTTGGCTTCCATAATGAGTTTCTTGGGATAAGAATGTAGTAGTTTCACCTTGCTTTGGAGGACACAGTAGGCACATATAAAAAAAAAAAAAGCTTTAGCCCAGCATACTAAGCAGCTGGTCAAGTCGTTAAGAACCCTGGACACTCATCTATTAGACCAAGGTTCAGAACCTCGATAAAATCATGGATTTCCTTCTGTTGGGGGGTACAAATAATATTCTACCCTGCACAGTCCATGGTGACTGCACTAGCCATACTTCCCTAAAGCCTCAGGTTCAAACACTTCCTCCCTACATAGCAAAAGTGGTAAACACAGCCAGTAATTTGCTGTTTTGGTTTGGCATTTACCATTTAATATGTAAGGTTAGTAACCTAAGCTTTTGAATGTTTACATTACACATCTTTTAAAACTTTCGATGGTTGGAAATTCATAAAGGGATTGGCCTTTCAAGCAGCTGATTTATCTTTCATGTAATATTTGTATTTTACATAGTCTTTTATGTATTGGGGCTTCCTTCTAAGTTGTAGTACATTTGCGTGAGAGGCAAGGAACCACTATCATGCAAATGAGTCTGATCTGTGAAATGGATTTGCATGCAACATTCAGGGTCTGAAAAAATGACTATAGAGTTAAGTTTAGAAGTGGATGAACAACCAGAACTTTCCCACCTCAGTTTGTAGTCGGTGAATGCGCCCAGAGTGCGCTCGGAAGACAACATCCGACAGTCCCTAACTAACAGAGGAGTGGAATGGAACAAAGCCAGAAAGAAAACTGCTGATAGAGACGTCTAGCGATCTCTCTGGCAAACCTCTATACCCCAAGGTAGAAAAGGATCAACTAAGTAAGTAAGTAAGTAAGAATGCGCAGAAGCAGAAGAATGTAATGGGGTAATCTTGTACAGCATTTAAAACGGATTGTGGCTTCTTTGTACTGCCAGCATGGTGACTCTTTTGAGCGGACCGGAGATGGACAAAATGTACTGGCTGACATTTTGGGTGGTCTACAGCAGCTACAACATTGTGGATTATATTCTTGGTGGCCTTCCATTGTACTATCTGACAAAGGTAAGACATAATTTATTGATGTGCACTCTCTACCAGCTTTTCGGTTAACCTTTTCACCCAGTGGAGCTGAAAAACTGACAATTCCAGTTGGGTCCATTTCCCTTGAATGTCACTTTTCTGACTTGCCTATGGAGACCTGTTTATGAGATTATTAGTAATGCTATTGGCTAAGTTTACGCCTGTGCAAGTGTTAAAGAGATCAAAATATGAATACATTAATAAACAGTAGCATTTGGGGGTGGGGGGGGGGGGGGGTGGAAAAAAAGTAGGGGGGGTGTTCTTCCAACCAAATGGCTTTTAACAAAATTGAAAGTTGACGTTAGATCTTCTCATAAACCTCAGTGGTAGAGGTTATGACATGTTTAAGGCCCTGGGGGATGTTTTTCATTTAATGCTTCACGCAGTTAGTGTTTATTGAATATCCCTGTTATATATCTTTTTGTTTTTCAAAATTAATTGTAAAATGTTGTTAAATACATAAAAAAAAAATTCTTAGTAACCTTTGTAAAAATTGGCCAGTATTTCCAAGCATACATGATGGATTAAGTTCCATTGAACTTTTCTTTTTCTGTTTGTCTTGTTTGTAAATTGTTATCTCATCTACTGCCATTTGTTGTCAGTATAAAACTGGAAATAAAAAAAAAATATATGCCATCTCCCTAATGAAGGGTGACTACAGTGTACTAATAGCTGTCTTAGGGAATATTACATGGTAATGTCCCAATTTCTTCCACTATGTGACTCTCGTCTGATTGTCTGAAAACTGTGAAAGCAGTTTTTTTAATAAACAATCTACTGTGGAAATGTAACCCCACTACTCAAGGATTATGGCATAGAACTCTTCAACATTGATGTTTTTTTGGCTTAGAGGTTGTGAATGCATTTTCATAGTCCTATCATACTACAGGGGTTTGAAGTCAGCTGCAGGCAGTTCAACAGCAGACCTCTTTTGTTGACGTTGACAGAGGTGTGAGCGCTATACCATTTAGAAAGCAGTTGTGGCCCAGTAAAATCACAACACTAAATAAATGGTGCACTTTGTTTGCGATGTTCTTAAAGCATTTCCAGCTTCATCATTCTGAGCCCTTGAGATTGCAAATATCAACCAGCTTCCATTCAACTTTTTGATTGGCCTTCTCTTTCCAGTTGGCAACTCCAGGTAGTTGTATGTGTGCATGTATATTATCTCTCCGCAGTCTTCTTGGTCTGCCTCGTGGTCTGCTCTTGATTAACTCTTTTGTGTGCACAGCTTGTGTCTCTCTGTTATCTGCCATTCTCTCTATATGCCCATTGATTTATGCCCATCTGCACAGATGGTTCTGTATTGAAAGGGAAGAGAAGTGCCTAGGGTTTGAGAGCGATAGCCAGTGGAAAATGCAGGACTGCCTGGCATGTGATACTAGAACATCTCTAGCATGAGAATGGAGGTGGAAGCGGTCACTGCAGCTTGCCAGTGGCTAGAGAACAAGATACATACACATGTCATAATTTTAACAGACTCTGAAAGCATGCTGAAAAAAGGTGATTTTAAGACTGCTTTGAGCAAAGTGGCAAGCTTCAGTTGCAAGGTCATGGGAAACGAGCATATTTTGGATCTTTTCTCCAGGCTATGCCGGCGTAGTGAGAAATGAAGAGACAGACAGATTGGCTGGATCTGCACCACTGGATGGTGAATTGATACATGACAAGGCAGATGTTATCAGAGCCCTTTGTAAACATGCAGAAAAGTCAGAAGAGATTCTAGATTATTATGGGCTAGAGAGTATGATGCACCTGGGTGTGACCAGTAGGTTTGGCCGGCACACTACACTCAGAAGAAAGGCAATGCATTCAGACTACCACTGGCACCATTAGTATTGGAACTGCGCTGGCTGCTGAGATTGAGGATGAAGCACTTATGGGAATGCCCCGAGTGTTGTGATGTCAGTTCTTGACTCAACTCAACTCTATATGCCCCAGCCATTCTAGTCTGTTATTTCTCATTATACCAGCAAATTAGAGCTGTTTCAGAATTTTTGACCTGGAAGTAATTTGCAACTAACCAGATATGCAGCTAGCTTTTGAAAATCTTTAACAGTCAAATCTCATCGCTAACAATGCAGTTTTCTCTCATGAATTATGTTGCAAGTAAAAATTGAGTCTGTTCTGTTTTCTCCAACAGTTCCTTCTTCTTGGAATCTATATGCTGGAGCCACAAATTCAGAAGGAGATTTACATCCTTGGGCAGAAACTCATCCTGAAACATAAGCCACTGAGTCGTGCTTACAGAGTAATCAAACACTTTGTCCAGGCTTTTCTGACTTCTCACCCTGCCTCTAATGTGGCCAGAGTTCACCAGATGGAGCGTCCGTCATCAGGCACTACTTATGTTTGGAATCTTGCTGCAAGCAGGAATAAGAATACTGCAGTTAAAGGTAGCAGTGCCTGTCTGTGATATCGAGAGATAGTAACTTATATCTGTTATATGTAGAGGTAGCAATGTCTTCTGCTGTATGTGGATGTGCTCCCAACTCCCAGGGGCCAGGTTGGATCCCAGCTGCTGGCAGTTTGACAGAGTAGCTGTACATTGAAAGGCATAAAGATTAATTCACCAGCGGGGGGAAAGGGTGAGGAGTGGTGAATACAGGTTCTGTAAGATGTTCAACACTGACTTAGGAGGAAATCAAGTTGCAACTGGTACTGTTAGCATGTCAGATCTTCATTGGCTGCTAATAAAGAGGATGGAGCACACATGGGAATGTCCCGAATGCAGTGCTGTCAACTCTTGATTCTTTCCTTCATTCACTCCAACAGTGCTGCTTGCACAAAATATAAACCAAACTTTTGTATCTTCTGTTTTTAGAATACATTGAACGTCACGTGTGCCTTGTCATTTTGTCATGGTCACTTTTAACTTATAAAACCATAATTTTTTTGTGTCATAATTACTAATTCACACAAGAGTGGAGAATTCAAGGAAGTAACCTCATATAGAGGTGGTGACATCTGTTACATGCAGAGGCAGCAGAATGTCTTATATCTAGAGGTTTCACCATTTATCTCTTACATTTAAGCATATCGGTATCTGCCTGTTGAGTATTAGAGGTTTACCATATATAACTGTTTGTATTATCCTCTTAACAATTGGTTTAAACAGTTTCACAAGCACTCACTGTCATAAAAAGTTGGCTTTCACAACCAACCTTTCTCCCTTCTCATCAATGGTCAAGATTCACTAGCTTCAATCTGTTTGTGGTTTATGGGGCCCCCAGTCGGGGGGAGGGGGAAATAGACCTAACTGCCCCTCAGCAAGTGTATCCTAAAAGTCGACTAATTAATAGTCTGCTGAAATCACTGTATTGGACCAAAAAGGCTTGAGTTTTCGCAGCCCTGCTGTAGTTAAAGACAGTTCAACATGCTAGCTGCTATGTTAAGGGTATATGCAGATGCAGAAGAACTAACTGCAGCATGTTGCTTATTTTTCTAGACATTGAAAGACATAAACTACTCATATAACAGACATATCAAATCTTCAAAGGTCAGCAAGCAGTTGTGGATCCATCAGAGATTACCCTTCAGATGTCAAGTCCTCTGGTACAGGCTGTGATGGAACTTAATGTGGAAGTGGATTTGATCAAAAAGGCAATAACACAGAAACTTGCCCAAGAGGGTATGACACTAAGATGTATTGTCAAGTTACTAGTCTGTGCACAGTTGTTAGAAGTATGATGTTTGTACACATAAAAAAAAAAATATAAATAATGCAGACAGAGACAGTTTATGGCCTGGCATATTATGCTACATATCAGGGGCATTACTAGTTTGACAGTAATGTACCTGATGAGATGCAGTAAAATATTTGAGGTGATAAATGATGTCTTTATTATTTTAGTTAGCAATGAAAATACACTGTTTAATTAATTATTTGTTTAAATTAACCATTTTTACCCAGACAAATTTAGTGTGAATTTTACCAAATGCAGTTTCTACTTACTCACATACTTTGAGTACCTTAGCTCTATAAATGACAGCAGTTTTTAGAACTGTTTAAAAAGTCAAGAGGAGGCAGACCACAGCAGTACAAAGGTAAACGGCATATAAATTATATGGAACAGCAAATGATCAAAAGTAAACAGTTTGATAGCATGCCACTTTCCTTCGGCAAAGGCAGATTTGCATCTTGGACCATTTCACAGTCACCACAGAGGGAAACCTGGGCTTTAGAACTTGTATGGTACAGAAATATTTTAATATGCCAAGTATCAGTTTATATATAAATATATATATATCAGTATATATTTTCATTGTCCTGTACGGAATGTTTTCATTGTCCAGTACAGAATGTTCTCATTGTCCTGTACAGAATGTTTTCATTGTTTTCATTGTCCTGCACCGAATGTTTTCATTATCCTGTACTGAATGTTTTCATTGTCCTGCACCGAATGTTTTCATTATCCTGTACTGAATGTTTTCATTGTCCTGCACCGAATGTTTTTATTGTCCTGAACTGAATGTTTTCATTGTTTTAATTGTCCTGCACCGAATGTTTTTATTGTCCTGAACTGAATGTTTTCATTGTTTTCATTGTCCTGCACCAAATGTTTTCATTGTCCTGCACTAAATGTTTTATTTGTCCTGCCCCGAATGTTTTCATTGTCCTGTACTGAAAGTTTTCATTGTCTTGTACTGAATGTTTTTATTGTCCTGGACTTGGTGTTTTCATTGTCCTGGACTTAATATTTTCATTGTCCTTCTGTGCTTGTATATGTCACATGGGCCCACAGTCTGTTTCTCCATTCCATTCTGTCCTGTGCAATCATGAGTGGAACAAGTCCAGCACTTTTGGTTTCTGATAAAAGTTTTTGCCATTTGGGTTTCTTTTGGAAGTCCTAATTTCTGCAATCCTTCTATTTCTCATTTCTGTGGCTTTTTGGTGATTCTCTGTTTGTCTCTTCCCGTACAGCGCTGTCTTCTCTGTTCTCTGTCTTATCACTATTGATACAATCGGCTGCTCAGACATGACTCGTAACTCTTCACTCCTCTTGAATTCATCCCATTTTACATAATTTTCCTCAGGCATTTGTTTTCACATGGATGTATCTCTCCTTCTTATCTTTAGTGGTTCCCCAGATTTTACTGGCATATGTTAAAATTGAAATAACATTAGACTGAAAATAAAGTAACATGATTCTAAAACTATATAATGAATAGTTCCAGATGTTGTTCAAGCTTTTAAAAGTTGCTGATGCCTTCTTGCAGATGAGTGTCATAATTTCTTTCCTTGTGTTTCCTAGACTATCGACATTACTATCTAAATAAGTAAATTGAGCTGTATCTGTAATTTTTTTTTTGACTCCAGTGTTATATCTGATTGTTACTGGTGTCTTCTGTATAATTGTCTTTTCGTAACTTACTTACAGTCCAGATTTTGATGCTTTTCTACTGAAGTGTATCAGATTTATTACATTGTTTGACTAGGGCCCGGCCAGAACTTCACAAGCGTAGAAGCTCTACTGGAAGCTGTATTTGATCTTTCTACATGCAAGGAGGGAGATGAGGATGGCAGTTCAGTGGATGAAGTGAGCTATCAAATTGGAATGAAAAACCCCTTGCACATTCCCCATTCATTCAACAGTGACAACTATAGCCAAGGTGAGTTGACACACATTTGGCTGTCCAGAGTGTAAAGGTTATATGTCATCATTCGTCTTCAGCCCTATTTCCCTCCATTGGAGCATAGGCCATCAGCCAACTCAAACCATGTCGTCCCCTTTCTTTAATGTCACATGCGGCTTCTCCCATGTCTTCCCAGTCTTTTTAACTACACTGTCTAGTTCCCTTTTCCGTAAACAGTTTTAACATTCTAGCCGCCAGTTTAAAAAAATTTTTTTTTGGATAGTTGATTGTAGGCGCATCAGTGATCTAAACTCTTTTCGGCTTTGTCTGCACTGCATCATTAGTCTTCTCTTATAAAAGCCTCCTCTGTCTCGGGGAGGAGGGGGGGGGGGGGGGGGGGGGGGGGGGGGGGGGGTGGGGGGGGGGGGTGGTGGGGGGGTAACTTATGTTTTCTACTGGATGAATTAATTAGGGTGCAGTGGTACTATTCTTTGCTTCCCACGAGGATCCTGGTAACACCACACATGTGATGTTTGATAATTACTTTCTCTCCTTTTCAGGTTTTTCATTTTTTGTTTAGTTTTTCCCAGAAATTAGGTGGACTGATGTTATGATGTTCTCCTCCGATTAGAAATTACTGGGTTTAGTAAACGACAGTGTCAGGGTAGGGGAGACCTGTAGTAAGTTCAGGATCGAGTTTACACACAACATTTAGAAGGCCTGTGATGTATTACCAAATACTCAGCTGGACACTCCAAAATGTAGGTCACATTGTTGCTGCCCTGGCAAAGAGTCAGCATTAGAATGCCAGCTTTCCCTTTGTGGGTTCTGGGGCCCTGTTATAGGGGAAACAAGAATAGACCCACTGCCTACCCACAAGCATGTTGTAAGAGTCGACTAATTGGGAGCTACTTTCAAAGTCGGAGTGCATCTGCCTGAGAGGCAAGGAACCAACAGTCTGCATGCAAATGAGCCAGATCTGTTAAACAAATATGCATGCAGGTTCTGGAACAGGACAGCAGTCCAGTTGTGGACGAACAACCAGAACTTTCTGCCAGAGTTTACAGCTGATAAACACGAAGAAGAAGAATGCCGACTTACCACCCCCTCCCCCCAAATACACACACACACACACACATGCGCACACACACATTACACATTCTGATAGACACACTTTAGGGTTATCACCAGTGCTGCAAAGTTCAGTCATTCATTAAGATGAGGTGGGATTTTTAGTGGATTTCTACTTCGTCTGTGCCCCCTACCACAACCCCCTTTAAAATGTGAAGTTTAAGCTAAACGGAGGAATCTTCACCTTTTGCCCCAAAACTTCAGTTTGATAACATACTTGTTGTTCCCCCCCCCCCCCCCCCCAATCTCCCTAAGATGGGCCCCCAAAATTTGGCTATTTTAGATTTGTGTCCTCGTGTTGGGATATTGAATATCACTTAGCTATCTTTGACCCCCCCCCCCCCCCCCCCCCCCCCCAAAAAAAAAAGAGGTCTAAACTATTTAAGATACAATTGCTATACATTTTGAAGTTTTTAAGAGCATGTAACATTGTTACAAATTCCAGCGAGTCAAGAAATGGGGAAAGATGCAGACATCGGAATGGACACACATTGAAAACACTTAAATGATAATTTAACTATAAATTTAGTTATTTGCATCGCTTTGCTACATCCTTATCTTATTGCGCTCTGGATGAATCAAGAGTTATACAGTAAGCAAATTTCGTTTATCCTCGGAATAACGGTTGTAAATTATTGAGGTGGAAAATATACCCTAACAGGGCCTCAGTAACGTGTTAATTGCGCACTTCTGTTGTCTTAAAATGCGCGCTTAAGGCGACTTCCGCCACCGCCGAATTGCAAACTTTCTGCAACTTCCGCCACCGCCGAGTGTGTCCCCCACACCTCTCACACAGCGTGGATTGGGGCTAAACTAGATGGCTAGGACACACGAGCAGCAGCTACCGCATCTCCTGCAGCTTCCTTTATAGCCATCTAGTTTAGCCCCAATCCACGCCACTTGAGCGGCATGGGGGACACTCTCGGCGGAAGTTACCTGAAGTTCGCAATTTGGCGGTGGTGTTATAGTCCCCGGAAGTGCGCAATTGACACGTGACTGAGGTCCTGTTAGAGTTTATTTTCCACCTCGATAATTTACGACCGTAAATGAATGTTTTGATAACAGTCATTTTAATTTTTTTTAGTTATTAAAAGATTTGATATAATTTTGTCTTGCAGTTGTTCCTACGAAGGTCATTGAAGAAAATCGGCAGCTAAAGGAACAACGTTTATGCAAGATTTGCATGCTGGAGGAAGTAGAAGTGGTATTTGTACCATGCGGCCATCTTGTATGTTGTCATGATTGCTCCTTTAAGCTGAGCTTATGTCCTATCTGCAGAGCTGAGATAGAGAGCTCCATGCGAGCATACATGTCATGATAGTCTTGTCCATATCTCAGTGTGCAGTTACATGTTACACTTGTTTGTTTTTTCTAGACTTGTCTATATTAGTTACATGATACACCTGTTTTCTTCTGATCTTGTCCATATATAAGTGCAGTTACACCTGTTTCAGTTTTTTTTTCTTGGCTTGTCCACACCTCAGTTTATAGTTGTCGATTCTCAGGGTAATGATGACATGGATATACAATCAGATGGTTACTGGTACCATCGGAATTGGAACTCTTCGCTTGCTGCTGAAGATGGGGACTGAGCACTTATGGGAGTGTCCCGAGTGCTGTGATTTTGATTCTTAATTCAACATTCAACAATCAATGTGTAGTTACAATATACACTTGTTTTTTTCTTGTAGGCTTGTCCACATTAGTTGCATGTTACACCTGTTTTTCTTTTGGGCTTGTCTTCTTCTCACTATATATTTACACCTGTTTTCTTCTGGACTTGTCCCTATAAGTTACATGTTAAACCTGTTTTCTTCTAAGCTTGTCTACATCTCAGTGTGCAGCTATAAGTTAAACCCGTTTTCTTCTAGGCTTGTCTACATTCCTGTGTGCATCTATAAGTTAAACCTGTTTTTTTTCTAGGCTTGTCTACATCTCAATGTGCAGCTATAAGATAAATCTGTTTTCTTCTAAGCTTGTCTACATCTCAATTTGCAGCTATAAGTTAAACCTGTTTTCTTCTAGGCTTGTCTACATCTCAATTTGCAGCTATAAGTTAAACCTGTTTTCTTCTAGGCTTGTCTACACCTCAATGTGCAGCTATAAGTTAAAACTGTTTTCTTCTAGGCTTGTCTACATCTCAATTTGCAGCTATAAGTTAAACTGTTTTTTTCTAGGCTTGTCTACATCTCAATGTGCAGCTATAAGTTAAACCTGTTTTCTTCTAGGCTTGTCTACATCTCAGTGTGCAGCTATAAGTTAAACTGTTTTCTTCTATCTTGTCTACATCTCAATTTGCAGCTATAAGTTAAACCTGTTTTTTTTTTTCTAGGCTTGTCTACATCTCAATGTGCAGCTATAAATTAAACCTGTTTTCTTCTAGGCTTGTCTACATCTCAGTGTGCATCTATAAGTCAAACCTGTTTTCTTCTAAGCTTGTCTACATCCCTGTGTGCATCTATAAGTTAAACCTGTTTTCTTCTAGACTTGTCTACATCTCAATGTGCAGCTATAAGTTAAACCTGTTTTCTTCTAGCTTGTCTACATCTCAGTGTGCAGCTGTAAGTTAGACCTGTTTTTTTTCTAGGCTTGTCTACATCTCAATGTGCAGCTATAAGTTAAACCTGTTTTCATTTTCTGGACCTTTCTGTGACTCAACTGTGTAGTTACAATTTACACATTTCTTCTTTCTTATGCATATCTCAGTGTGCAGTTATAGAATGCACCAGATGTTATTTCTAAACTTGTTGCATCTCATTTGAAGTTAAAATTTACATCTTTTTTTCTCTCCATGACTTGTTTTTGTCTCATTGTGGAGTTTCCTGTTATATCTGTTAGCGTTCTGAATGTATCCATGTCTCTGTGTGTCTCATTGTTAGATCTTGTGTGTGTGTGTGTGTGCGCGCGCGCATGCATGCATGCGTGCTGTCTGTATCTGTGTGTAGAGTTATAATTACACCTGTTTTCTTCTATACTTGTCTACTCAATAATTCATTGTCTCCAACTTTCATTACAAGAATCACACAAGTTATGTACATATTAACCAAACCAATATGTTGACAGACGATAGAGAATTTTCATTTTCACAGCTCTTTCATGTATTTTCTGTCCGCATATTTGATTTTGTCATTCCAAGTGCACGCAAATGCCAACATTTATGTTTATTTACTCTACCTTACATTTCTAGTACACAAAGGTTGTGAATAAAGTTTAAGCTCATTTTGTGCCAGTCCTAATATATTATTTAGTTACTATTGTTATAACCAAAGATACCTTCAGAATTTCTGTAATTTTTCAGTCATGAACAGTTATCATAGTCCATTCCAAAAGTCATGCTCCTAAACTTTAACATATATCTCAAAAACTCCTTTATGTATCAACATTAATTTTTTATACTACTCTTTACTTAAAATGGTGCATTTTTTGTTCTTTGTGTTCCTTTGTTCTGTGTGTTCCCATAATAAAATAGAATGTACAGTAATTGAAACAAATCATTTACTTTAAACTAGGGCTGTACCGAATATTCGCTTTGTATTCGCTTCGGTGCCGAATAGTAGACCTAATAACTATTTGGTATTCGGCTGAATACTTGCGGTCGGGCCAAATACGAATATTGGCTACCTTACACCCGTTTCTGCATACACTGTGATGGAATCTCTCATTAACACAATAGTTGCTGTTGCCTAAGTCTGTCGTAGCGGGGCAAACTGCGACCCAATTGCGTGGTACAGCAGCTGGCAAGGTCTTTTCCTGATGCCTCGACCGAGGCATTACAGCAGAGGTTCTAAAACTGGGTGCGTATGCCAGGAGTGCCGCGGCAAAAATCGAGAAAAGTCGGCTATAAATTGTGACATTATTAAAGGAGGCATAAAGATACTTAGAAGTTAAAATTTAAATTGTCTTTCCTTGCCAGTGATGAAAAGAGTGTTTTCCTTGTTTCACACTGAAAGTGTATCATACTGCATAAAATGCCAACCGCAGAGTGCTAAAAATTGTTTTTGTATTTATTTCGAGGTGCGACCGATCCTCCATCTGTATTCGTGAAGGTGCAGCGGATAAGTAAGGTTGTGATAACATTTAGGCTGAAATTTTTAAGTGGAAAATGTGGTCTGTACAATAGTAACTGTTAGCCTCGTCAAGTAAGCACTTATTTTTAAAGGCAATGCGTTGTGAGTCCTGGACAATCGGTAGGCAGGCCAAACAATTTTTGAGGCCTCAGAGATGTGGTTTTACAGAACAATGCTTAACCTTGGACAGATTAGAAAAAGCAAACCAAGAAGTTTTGAAAGAGGCGGGAGCACGAAGGCAACTAATCACAGACATCAGAAGGAGACAGTCATCACTTTTCGGCCATGCTATGAGAAGAGGGAAAATGGAACATATGGTGACCACTGGAAAGATCTGTAGAAGGAGGAATAGAGGAAGACAATGAGAAAAGATTCTTAACAGTCTTGTTGCATGGCATGGAGGTGTGTCAGCACACAAACTGCAGGAGATCACAGATTGTGGCGAGGCATAATTGCCCACGCCAGTCGGCAAGGCACCTGATAATGATGATACACTATTTGTATTCGTATTCGGCCAAATAGTTGGTCCCGCTATTCGTATTCGGTCGAATAGTAAAAATCACTATTCGGTACAGCCCTACTTTAAACCACAAGCGAGTAGATTGTTTTAGAAATAACTTTTTTTTTTTACAATGCTTGGTGATTATTTTGATAGCCTGTCCTGCATACAGAGAAATATTCTGCTCTTCTGACTCACAGAGGCTAGTGCAGGAGATTGACAGCTAAGAACTGAGTTAAAATTATTTAAATAAGGTCATGCCAGTATATGGCTTATCCAGTTAACTATTCAAAATAAGTAAGCCTTGGTTTTTCACATGGATTACCTCTTAAACGTGCAGATTTATGTTTTGCAAAGTTCACATAACTTCATAAACTTTAAACATGCTAATTGTATGCTTTGAATCTGGGTCTGTTTTTTTAATACAGGCAAAATAAAAACTAGATGTCTGTTTACATTAAAATTATTTTCCTATACAAACATAATTATTGACAGGTCTCAGTGCCAACGTGCACTGGATCGCAAATTATTCCTCCCCACGACGCTTAACGGCAGAAGTGGTTTATGATAATGATAATGAATGAATGGTTACTGAGTTGAAGAATTTTACAGTTGGGCATGACTTTTCAAGCGGACTAAACTCAGACATACTTTGCTCTAGTTTCTGTTATTTTTTTTAAAACCTACTCTGGTTTAATCATTGTTATACTATTCTTTAACTACCCCACTATAATTACTATTATACTGTTACTGAAACTCACTCTTCTCTATTTAAACTATTACTTTAACGAACCCTACTATACATTGACGACCAGGTTGCCCATTGACTGGCCGGTAGACGACTTCCTCGCCAGTCGGGACAGTGTTTGGTTCTGTCTCCATTGCTTTCATAAACATTGCAAGAGTTCTTTTCAGAGCTACTTGGTGGCGAGCAGTGGTAAACCCTTTTAAATGGCACACATAACCTAGTTACAGTTACAACTTAAGGCTTCCCCTTTGGGGTTGCTGGTTACAAGTGATGATTTTTATTTTTATTTTTCGCAAAGCCAAGCTACCATACTCTATTTGTTATTGTACTTTTAACTACCCTACTAAGTTCTAGTTATTATACTGTTACTTTTAATTACTCTACTTTAGTTGTTATTATACTGTTACTTTAACCTACTCTACTCTGATTATTATTATTATACAATTACCTTTAGGTACTCTACACTATCTTCTATATTATACTGTTACTGTAACCTACCCTGCTCTGTTCTTATGCGAGATTCTCGTGTTTTCTTAGTGTTTGTCGTGTATAATCCCAGATTCTTTTCCTTACTCCTTGATTCACTGGAATGTGTTGAGTTATCTTCCTGAGAGCTTTACATTAGTGAATCTTATCTTCTTCTTTTGACGTCTCACTGAAACCAGGTTGTAGCCCATTGTCGTGGTTTTCTGCATTTGTCTTGCGCTTCTCGGATGGCTTGGGTGATGGATTTGTTAATTTTTTTGCTACACCATTTATCCATCTCTTCCTTGGTCTTCCTCTCCCCTTCCTTCTAGATGTTTTGCTATAAAAAGTCTCTTGAGCATTTTTGCCTGGCTGCATCCTCACTAGATGGCTGAAACATTGCATTCTTTGTCTGGAAATCTATTATACAATTTAATTCCCTCTTTTCTGTACAAACAGAGTCAGTGAATGTTTAAAGTTTATAGTAATTTTTTGAGTTTATCATATTTTAACTCTATACAATTCTCATTTGACAAAAG